GTAGAGAGATAGGTATGGATAAATTGATCGAAAGGATTCGAGTCGATGCAAGGGAGAATAACGACGTCGTTTGGGTGCTGAAGAACGCGCGATTCGCGGTGTTTTATATTCTACTTGCGATGTGTTTTGGTGTTGGGATGAATGATGAGGAAATGATTGAAAGAGTTGATCAAATGATGAAGGATGTGTTGCTTGTGCTTGATCCAAGGATAGATGATTTTCTTCCTATTTTGAGGTTATTTGTTGGTTATAAGCAACGTAAAAGAGTTAACGATGTTCGTAAGAGGCAAATTGAGACCCTCGTCCCCCTAATTGAGAAACGTCGTAGTGTTGTACAAAATCCTGGATCCGACAAGACTGCAGCCTCGTTTTCCTACCTAGACACTTTGTTCGACGTCAAAATTGAAGGTATAGTGTTGAACTATATGACTATCTTAGCTAAAAGTTTAAATGAACGATTTCTATTGATCTCCTCATCTGAACTAACTTTTAAAGTTGAGTGGTATCAGAGTCAAACTCACTTCAAATGTCTAGTTTTGGTGATGTTGAGTAATCCGAAGAGGGTAGGATCAATATCCATTTCTTAACATAATTACTTAATTATTTTTTCTTGACAGGTAGAAAGTCAGGACCGACGAATCCAGAGCTCGTAACATTATGCTCAGAGTTTTTGAACGGTGGGACCGACACAACGGCTACGGCATTAGAGTGGGCCATAGGGAGATTGATCGAAAATCCAAGCATACAAGAGAAAATGTATGAAGAGATCAAAACCATAGTGGGTGATAAAAAGGTTGACGAGAATGATACAGAGAAAATGCCTTACTTAAATGCTGTTGTAAAGGAGCTTTTACGTAAACACCCTCCAACGTACTTCACATTGACCCATGCAGTAACAGAGCCGGTTAAATTGGGCGGGTATGACATACCCATGGATACTAACGTGGAGTTTTTCGTATACGGGATTTCACACGACCCGAACATTTGGTCCGACCCGGAGAAGTTTGACCCGGATAGGTTTTTATCGGGTCGGGAGGACGCGGATATAACGGGGGTGAAGGCGGTGAAGATGATGCCGTTCGGGGTCGGACGGAGGATTTGTCCGGGCTTGGGAATGGCAACGGTACATGTGAATTTGATGTTAGCGCGAATGGTTCAAGAATTTGAATGGTTTGCTTACCCGGGAAATAGTGAAGTGGATTTTAGTGAGAAATTGGAATTTACTGTGGTAATGAAAAATCCATTAAGAGCTAAAGTTAAGCCAAGAATATAATTAAGTAATGCTCATAATTAAGATTATAAGTCCAAAACTTGTTTAATAAAAGAAGGTTTGTAGCATTTTCAATATAGTAATTACAATATTCCACATTTTCTTGTTTATAACATACTAATAAAAAATCTTGTGAAGTTTATTTCTATTTTCTACTAATACTACTAATGGTTCTTTCTTCTTCTTTGATGGTCTAATCATGAAACCACACAGTAATTGAACTTTAAGACTCCACCTTTAAATTAGTTGTGATTATATTTTAAGTAGACAAAATATATAAATGTGCTTTTTTACTTAGTCTCATCTGACATCTATGACTTTCAACTTTGCGTGTGCACTACTAGTCTATTAGACAAAGGGACGGAGCCACCTTGTGTTTAAAGGGTTCATCCGAACTCCTTTGATGAAAAATATATTATTCATGTATGGTTAAAGTAATTATATATATATAGTAGATGTTGAATCTCCTTTGGCTAGTTTGTATATATATGTCTATTTCTTCAAATTTTGAACCCCCTTAGTCGAAATCTTGGTTCCCCCACTGATTTTCCACTTAAAGTTGTTTAAAGTTGAATTGGTAGACACATGCGTCCTACATGGAAATTCACACCGGTGTTCTACGTGCATTATGACACATAGGTTGTGCGTCTATTTGTTCAACTTTATGCAAGTTTAAGTGTCTACTTGTGCACATTCAAAATTGAAGGATATAAATGCTGGCTAAGACTAAGTTAAACATGTTTATGTATTATGACTTTTAAATATTCTGTAAATATTTAATATCTATCTAGCGGTCCTAGAAGTGCAACTCAAAAGGAACTATTATTCTGTTCAATTTATGTGACATACTTTCCTTTTTAATCGATCTCAGAAAGAGTGATACATTTCTGTATTTAGCATGAGATGATTTATGACTAGACAAATATCTATAACTTATTTTAGACCACAACTTTTAAAAAGTCTTGAAAATTATAAGTGTGTGGAGGGACCAATGTCATTTTAATGTTCCATTTTATAGTTGGACATTAAATATAAATAGTATTATGGATGTAGAACCAATTTGCTCATTAGTCCAATCATGCATGTGATCATGATGTCCAGTATATTTCTAGCCTTGAGTTATGGGAAACAACTTTATGAAACCAATAAAGATGGTATGCCCCAAAACACAAGCAAACAATGCCTTAGCTACTTGTTTGCATATTTAAGACAATCTTCTTCTCCTATATTAGGCAAGGCTATTGCAAAAAACAATTTCTCAGTAAATAAAAGAGTAGTCTCATATTAATTGTTCACTTTCTTCTTTATATGTTTCTTAAGAAATCATTAATAAGAAAACTTTTTTGAAACTTTACTAATTTACCTCTTACTCTCTTCGTGTTTAGCCGATGGGAGCTTTAACTTGCCTCGGGTATTACAATATACATCCTTTTTAGAAACTCAATGTCCTCGCTGAGGTTATAAGGTCTATTAACTTGTCTAAACATAATTTGATTACTATTACTTTATATCGTTATGTAATACTAATTAAGGCTATATAAGAAAAAGAATATAGTAAACTCTCTTGATTAGGTAAAACAAAATATTTATTTCAATATATAGATCAAGTAAAATGAAATAGAAGGAGTATATCATTTGTCTTGTGGCATCTACATACAAAAGAGAAGTCATTAATGAACCATGTGAAGGGAAAAAAAGGAGGTAATAAGTCATTTTAAAACAACATTAATGATAACAGCATTTTCAGTTGGGAGTCTAACAAAAAGTGGTTAGCTGTCACTTAACATGACATCCAAAATTACTATCCTATGGTGAGAAAAAGCCCAAAATAGTCCTTATTTTTTTTTGGTTAAGAGTCAAAGTCATCTTTGAATTTTCAAATAGAGTAGTAATAGTCCTTCATGTTTGCAATAGTAGTGTTCTTTTGATCCTCCTCCAAACTTTTAGCTATTTTTAAAGATTGATTTTGTCCACAATTTTAAGTATGGGATGTTCAATCATCTTTTTATATATTAAATAGAAATAATAATTTCATGTGAAAGAAGACGATAAGAAGAGCACATTATTTTGTTCGGTAGAAATATTATTGCAACTAAAGTAAGAAGACCTTGACATATGACGTCGCGGGAAAATAAAATTTTATACTACTGCACATGAAAACGACATGATGAATCTCTCGATTTTAGCTGCAATAATATTTTTACCAAACAAAACAAGATTTTCCTCTTCTCACTTTCTCTCAAATGGAGTTATTATTTCTACTAAATATATTAAAAGACAATTGAACATTTCATACATAAATTATGGATAAAATCAATGATGAAAAATTGGCAAAAGTTTGGGGAAGGACCAAAAAAGCACCAATATTACAAACATAAGAGACTATTATTGCTTCATGTGAAAACTCAAAGATGACTGAGTCTTAATCCAAAGATAAAGGGTCTATTTTGGCCCTTTTCTCATCATATGTTCATATTAAGTGATGTTTTTACTTTTCAAAAAGGTACTATTTAATTATAAGTTAATAAAAATATTTTTTATTATTTATAAAAAAAAATTAATTAAAAATATCTCTTAATATAAATTGAAGGGAGTATTACTATTCTTCTATACTATATTAATTGTCATATTTCTTTTTTATAAAAAAAAAAGGTATTTTTACTAATTTATTCATAACTTTTTTCAATTATTATAGTTTACTTCCAAAAATAATTAATGTTAAAAATAAAATAAAGATAATAAGTAATTATATACTAATTTTATAAATTAATAAGTATTTTGGGACTTATATGTTTAATAATGCATGAAAACAAGGTTGAAGTACGAATCATTTTCAGTATTAAATTTTTCACCAATTAAGTGGACAAACTTTAAAGTATTGCTCTTTTCTTTCAAGCTTCTTTCTCAATTTGCTTCTATATTATGCAACTTTTGTTCCCTCTTCCGTTCACTTTTACTTATCATATTTGAATTTGATATATTTATTAAGAAAATAATAATCAATATGATTATTATACCACATTGTTCCCATTAATTATTGCATACACAATTTCATATATATTATTACAACATTAACATATTTATAAATTACTATTAGAATAAAATTAATTATTTAGATGTTAAAACTTTGATTAAACTATCTTGATTGAAATATTCTTTTTGTGTTAGATAATGAGATAAATTGTTTGTACTTTCTTTTAAGTATTTATACATATTTAAGGTATTAATATGTTTTGAAAAGCATAAGTTATAATTCCATATTACATGATTATATTTATATCGAAGACAAAAAAATTATAGTTACTAATTAATATACCACAAAATAATTTTATACAAATTTAAGTGTATTTGTACACACCCAAAGTTGGAGGGCATTGATGCCAACTGAATCCAAGTTAAAGGACATATTTATGTATTATGCCAATACCAAAATCAAACATAAATATACCTAAACACCGAATTAATTTGCCATGATAATGGTATCTTATTTTATAAATAGAAAATTGAAATTACCGAAATCAAAATTTTCAATACCGTACCATGCCCACAAGGCACACCCTATATTTACCTTGCCACAAAATACCAAAACCAAACTTAAAAAATTACCCAATGATACCAAATTAATTTGGCATGGTTATGGAATCATATTTTTCATGTCCACCCATATAATTTATCATGCTCTTGGTTCAATGTTCTTGCAAAAACATCATAAGAAAAAATAATCTATAGGTTCAAGTAAATAAATATGTAGATACAATCTTGATTCTTGTCTACTAAACTCATATATGTAATTGACATTGTTCAGCAAGGAAGCTGAATTAATTGATCTACAAAATTACCACCAATTTTCAAGTTGAAAACTGAAGTATAGCAAAATGTAAGGTACTCAAAAAATGAAAGAAACAATACTTTGCTATATTTACAAAAGGCTATGAGCAGTAAGTTATCTACCAAATCAAAATCCGAGCAACGGAATGAACGCGATACCTACATTGTGAAATCTTCGAGTCTCTGTGGTCTTGACTTCAAAAGCTTATGCATTTGATGGGCTCTCAACTTGCTTGTTTTCTGAGTTTTTCGTGTTCTGACTATCATCATTTGATATGACGTTGTTTCCTCTGACTGCCATCATACCAGCCTCGGGTGGACATTGAGCGTCTGTGGTGGAGTCCGTTCTCAGGCTGGAATGCCTCTGCTCAGCTGATAGACAAAGATTTGAACTAACATTCAGGGAGTCCATCTCAAAGTGAGATCGGATAGCTGAACTAAACAGTGGTTGCATAAATCGCTTTTTTTCAGGTGTTTCACGTAGAGAAATTCGACAAACTGGGCAAGTAGAGTGCTGCTGAAACCATATGTCAATACATGTTGCATGGAAAGAATGCCCACATATTGGCAAAATACGTAGCGCATCCTGCTTTTGATACTCGGCAAGGCAAACAATGCACCTATGACAATAAAGTTGGAGAAGTTATAATAAGGTAATTGGGTATGTTTTTATCTAAAGCACTATGGAAACAAGCTATGTATCATAGACACCTGCAATATGCTACAAGTTACAAGAGTTTCGAAACTACATCATACAAGATACACACATCATAAAAGATAGTAATAATATAAGTAAAAATCTCAATTTTTTTAATGAGAAAAGGGTGACATCCCTTAGGTTGTACTCCAACATCAGAGGTAGAGAATATGTTTAGCCACGCTTGTTCAGCATTCTAACAATGATTAAGATTCAACTATGGTCATATGCATGTCAAATGTATAGCCCATCAATCAACATCGAGACTATTTTACAAACGTCAATACGTATACTACATAGACTACTACAGTACATGCACAGTTGGTGATATATCACCAGAAAAGGGCCATTTCTCCTGTATGATGAATGAGGATGACTATACTACATTCGGGAGAAACATGGATGTAGCTTTCTTATTAATTAACTTTTTTTAATGACCGTAGTGTCCGGTTCAGCTTTCGTGCACCTCGACAAATTCCACGAGGATACCTGCCACCTCCCACCAGCAACATAGCAACGGGTACAAGATAACTCTATCCACCAAGGCTAGAAGAAATGGGAAGAAATCACCTAGTGTTTTTTGTCTTTGAGGGTCTGATGGTTCTCAATCCACTTCATTGACCACTATGCCACATGTATTTAGTTTTAAAGAGGTACTTTTTGGCACCCCAATTTCAAAATGCAATTTCTAATCTTGTATCTCCTTCAAGACCTCCCGATATGACATATCTATGGTCGTCGAAGCCCACTAGGATACGATAACACTTATCACTTGCATGACTCAGAGTTTCGATGGCCAGAATTGGAACCCAGAACCTACTCCCTCTGGATATCTCTAATCAAATTTCCACTCTCCACTTTCTTTGACATATTTGGATAACAGAATCAGTTTTGGACTGCTAATGGTTTGGTCATTCTAGTCCAAAAGTCATAAATCAATTATTTCCTTCCAAGCAGTTAGCTTCTCTGATATGAAGGCAAGTGCTCAAAATATATTGGATATACATAACAAGAAGATTGAACCATCTATATGATGCAAGCACATTGCACATAGATCTACCATACACCTTGTATATGATGTTTTTGACCCAACGCTAACCTGCCTTTTTATTCTTCAAAATCTGATACTTCAATGAGATATTTTTTATATTGACCAACAGAGACATATAAAGTCCAGGTCCAGATGGAGAAGATTAAAAACCCAAACAATTCTCGGTTTCCTATGTTGCTTCATACTAGGTGTACTGATAATGTACATGCATGCTAGAAGTTAGTAAAGTATATTAGGCTAATCATAGACTATAAGTCTCATCGAAGTTTCTAGTTTAATGGTCATACTCAATCCGATAAAAGGTGACATTATCGGTAGTAAATCGGATGATAAATAGTGTCCCAATGCATACAGTGAAGCTTGTAAGTATGCTAAGAAAAAGTAGTCTTACTATCCACTGAAACAGAGAGGAAAAAGTTAACAGCAACCTTTTAAATTTAATAGTTGTTCATATTTCAATCACATCAGTGGTACTGTGCAGTCTAATTAGACTTTTTTCTTACGATCGAGAAATCCTTCTGCGGCCAGCTCGAAGGACCAACCGCATCCCTCAGATAATGAGCCCGCCCCTCTACCCTTCTCCACTTAAATTTTAAGCTTAGGGGCTCGAACCTTAAACCTAAGTCACAAGTAACTCAACCTTTCCCACTTGAACTAAGCCTTGGGGAAGCCTATTGACAAATTTCAGATGAACAAAGCTTTAACAGTAAAAATGATTTGCATATTAACCAAGACATCAAAGTAGTGAACTTTTTCTCATTACTTTAAACATATTATGGTTAATGCCTGCGGTAATCCAAGATAAGTAGTGTTTTAGAGGTGTGGAGAGTGAAAGGAAATATTTCATCTTTAGTTCACAGGGAACTCGTTGATTATATTAAAGGTGAACCACTATATTCATTGACAAGGAATTTTAACACCACATGAAAGAGAAACAGGAAAATCAGAGATCTTCACATAGGTAAAATGCAATCATCTACTCCATGGTTCTCGAGAAATAAAAACATATGCCCACAATGTAGTCGGCGGTATTCTCCCTTTCCAGAAGGGAGGTAGCAGGGTAGCATCACATTGAAACCTAGAGGAAAAGGAAGAGGGGATTCTCAGGGCCTATGCAAAAGTTAAACAAATGCAGATGAGGATGCACCACTACCTTTGGTTCAACGTATACATATATATAGTTAAAAACTTTTTTAATCGTAAACCCCACTGATGCAAGTCTCATCTGAGCAAATGGTTATTTTAAAAGAGAAATACAAACAACCAAAGGACTTTAAAGATTTCAAACCTGAGCTAAATTTCAAGTATATCTCCACGAAGAAAGTATCAATCACCACTCAAAACAAGTTTAAATTTATGAGAATTTTACTCTGAGAGGATCAGTCCGGTCCAATGCATACTTATAGCTTTCAATAGGTAGGAGATCTCTACATGATCATATGCTCTCCCTTTATAACTTCAATCTCTATCATAACTCGGTCATAATTTAATGCCTCGTCGCTTAATGTTGGCTGTTGGTTCTCCTATATCTGGAGGATAACAGCACAACCAAAGCAAAGGGCAGAGCAAATGTAACTGAATTCAAAGGAACACCAGTTTGAGTGTGTGACAATTCTCTCAACCATGAAAGCCCTATTATTATGGCTGCGTGACCGCCTTATCCCAAATGATTCAAATAACTCAAATTTGGAACTAAATCTGATTTAGTTTCTCCAATAAAAATTCACTTTGCAGATCAAGTGGAATAAACACTTACTCTCGGTTGTTAAACTAAGTAAGAACTTAAGAAAAAACCATAAAAACTTAAATTAAGGGCAAGATAAAACTGTCTTGTAAAGTTTTACATGGAACCACCTATGTTGGTTCTTTAGATGTATTCACTAGGTTCCCACATACTCATCATTCGGACATCATATTAAAATTTAACCATGTGGACTTTACAGATGTATAAACGTCAAAAAAGTACAACACAATCTGAACACATATTCATAATGCTACTTCAGCTTCATTTTTTTAATTGTTATCTGTAATCCAACAAAATTTTCATTCCTGTTTTCAACAAATATATTTGCTTTCTGAAATCAAGAAAAAAATAGCCCATCTTATGAAGAAGTCAAGAACCACCCACTAGAAAGAAAAATGCTATTTATCTAAAGCTTGTATTATATGCAGAACTTGAAGCAAATATCAACTTACTGAGCATCTTCTGCAGAGGTAAAAAACACATCCCCGTACTTCTTTGTCGGGAAGTTGGCAACAACAAGAGGCTCGAGACCATGTAAACCACGCTCCAACTGTACAGGGTAAACATACACTACTATTATTTAACCAAAAACCAGGACAAGTGATTCATCAGAAAAAAATCATTCTGCTTCCACTAATAAAGAAGAATCCAACTAAAATATGGACTAAAATGCACTACTACTGTTTTAGTACTGTTACTGATCAATTACAACTAAATTTAGCTAGGATGTGAGGTAAAAGATGTGAAGTGAGGGGAATAAGACCTGCACGCACAAAGCACGACATCATCAAAACAAAATTGATGTTTGTTTGAAAGGCCTCAACATGACAAATAGAATGTCCCCAAAACCTCTTTAACAAACTACACATCAAAGACCTAAGTGGCCTACAGTATGTACTGTGTGCTGGCTAGACTACTCAACCAATCAAAACTCCAGTCATGATCAGATTACGTAGGCGCTTGAACGTACATATTATTTGAAAATCAGTGTTTGTTTTACACATTTGTCCACTATTTCAACTTCAATTTGATTTAGAGAATTTGTAACTGAAACACTGGTTGAAGAGTATTTCACTCACAAAACTTCTAACTTTTTTCCAAGTGAAATTCTGTGCAAACACAATTTCAACTTCAAATACTTGTTTTTTCAACTACTAGAAAATCCCAACAAGAAAACAGCATACAAATAAGCAACAAGATGTTGAAACTACTACTAAACCAGTAATGAAACAAGTGCTTACAATGCTAAGATCAGATCTAGAAGCATATGCGAAAGAGTGCCGTCTTGCATTCAATTGAATTCTTGCACAAATTAGCCTTGTGCACACAAATACTATGAACATGGTACTTACTGCAAATCCTATCACAGTCATCACCAAATTTGTCCCTGAAGATATCATTTCACCAACTTGTTTTTTTCCCAAAATAGCAACTTTACTGTCCACTCCAACAACCCAAGATTTGAATTTCCCAGAAAAGTTCAATTTTTGCTCCTCATTCCAAACATAAAACAAATTCTACACTATACCCAAACAACAACAACTAAGCCTCAGTCCCAAACAAGTTGAGCTCGGCTCTATGAATCCCCACTATACCCAAACAACAACTACTACTCCTCAGTCCCAAACAAGTTGGGGTCGGCTATATGAATCACCACTATACCCAAACAACAATTACTACGCCTCAGTCCCAAACAAGTTGGAGTCGGCTATACGAATCCCCACTAAACCCAAATTCTACACAATACCCAAGTCATATAATCCCAAGAAAACCTAAAACCAATCCCTAAAAACATCACTAGAGTCCTCCACCTTCCCCACCCTATTTTTTCACTTCCAGAAACTATATAAAGAAACCCCTTATAGTACTTTCTTCATTTTTCTCTCAAAAGTCTAATCTTTCCAACACTTGAAGCAATTTACTTAAGAAATGCAGCCAAGAACCTAATTTTCACTTTCAATTTCCAATAACCCTTTTGTGGATTTTCTTCATAGCTCATAAAAATACAATCTTTATACCTCTAGAGACATCTTGGTCACCTATATTTATGCATGTATATATATATAATATATATATGTACTGGATATTTGAATCTTGAAAATTTTAACATTTTAATCAAGAAGAGGGTCAGCATGTTTTCTTGATATTGTCATGTGGAGAGAGAAAACAGAGAAAATTAAGAGACAAAGATTATGAGGAAATTAGTGAGAGATCTCAGATCCATAATCATAGTTGATTAGTGGAGTAATTTTTTCTCCTGTGGAGTTAAACCAAGTAATTGAATTAATTTTTTAAAATTTAAGTACAAATATTTTTAATTAGATTTAGGGCCCATCTCTTGACTCTTTTTGATTAATCATAGAGTGAACTAATATATATAATAATAGTATCAATTATTTATAAAAAAAATACATCTTAATTATCAATTGTTTTATTTCTTATTTAAACATGGTGATATTTTATGTAGGAAAAATAAATAACAGATAATTAAGATGTATTTTGATAACTAGATAGTGATAATTTAGATATAAGACTCGAAAAAATGAATTACTTTAGATGTGTTTTCAATTATTAACTCTTAATCATATGGGAGTAGTATTATCATCAAATCAAAACATAAGCTACGAGTTCATAGTAATATAGTAATTTTTGTTCAAATCATGCATATGTATATAATAACAATAATAACATATTTTATGAAATCTTATAAAGTGAATCTAAAGAGGGTAGACTGTACCTAACATTACCATTACCTCTTGAAGGTAAATATGTTGTATACGAAAGACTATCAATTCAAGTAAACCAAATCAAAGTAGTAATTCAACAAAAAAAAAAAAGATAATGGAGAGAAATATGATAAGTAATAGTAGCAAAATATTGGCGGAGCATGTATGTAAGGAACCTCATCAACAACAAGGTGCGATCACTTAAACATAGTAAACAACATGTAGTATCAAATATCAAAAGTTGAAGACTTTATGAATAGGCTAAACTATAACAAACACGGTGATTTACACTACTATCAAGAAATGTGCATGAATATGTTAGTATTAAGATAATGCTCAACCACTTAATAACCTTTTATCTTTATCCACGACCTCCACCTCCCCCCCCCCCCCAACACCCTCTCTAAGTTCATAGCTTAAGGTGCTCTATATCCTCTCTAATGGACTCTCCTTAATACTTTTTCGGCATACCATTCTCTTTCCTTGTCGCATTATATTCAACCTCCCACACCTCCTCCCTATAGGGCATCCGCATATCTTCTCTTCACATGCTCAAATCATCTCAGTCTCCCTTCCCTTATCTTGTCAACTACAGAAGTCATTCTCACTTTATCTCAGATATCTTCATTTTCTGGACATGAAAGTTAATTTTGACTGGTCAACACTCCGCTCCAATACAACAAAGTCAATTTAACCACCATCATATAAAATTTACCTATAAATTTTGGTGGTACCTTCTTATACACAAAACTCCAAATACAAACCTTCATTTCATCCATGTCACATCAATACGATGTGTAACATCCTCATCGATATTTCCATTTCCTTGGATCAGAGACTCCAAAAACTTAATTTTCTCTCTTGAGAACAACTTGTATATCAAGTATCGATCACAGCCTCATGTGTGATATCATCAAATTAATTTTTTTTATTAAATATATAATTATAAATTTAATTATTATTATACATTAAGTAAAAAACATCACATATTTTTTTGAATTTAAACCTTAAATTCGCACTATCAACCCTTTCTCAATAAAGGAAAGTCCAGGTGAAGATGAGGCCCTTTTTTCTATTAGCCATGGTCAATTGTCTGTTATTATTTCTCTTGAAATTTGTTGGATTCACTGGAGCTTTATTGTGTCAAAACTTAATGGTTAAATTGATAATCGATCTGATAATAATTAATAACGAATAATTGATAAGTTTTATAACAATTAACATCTCTATAAATCAATAACACATAAGTCAAACTAGCAAACTTCAAAATCGAATCGATTGATACACAACACTAGAACCAATAATTATTGTGAAAGAACATGTTTGTTGCATCTAAAGATTTTCTTGTGACACATCAATAAAATTATTAAAAAGAAGTTGAAAGATTTTGGGAATCTGCTTTGATAATTTTCTTATTAATAAAAAAACTCACTCCCAAGAGAATAAGTACAAGATTCTTGTTTTAATGAGGCAAAAGGTTAGTTAAATATAAATATGAAATACTTTGCTTCTCCAAACAGTCACATGCCCCATGTTGTAGTTTTTAATCTTCGAAGGTAGTGAGCCCTAGCTACTAGACAAGTCAAAATAAATAAATAAATAAATTAAGATTCGATTAAATTAAAATTAACACATATATTATACTGGAATATTTGGTATTACTCGAAAAAATCATTCGATTCATGGAATTTGATATAAGATTAATATGAGCTCCCAAAATGATTTTTCATTCTCAGGGATTCCAACATGATCTGCTAGGTGATATATTTTTTAGGGCAACATTTTCAATAAGATTTTTATTTAATTTTCAACATATTCAAAATTGAGTACTCTGATTAATAATGAAGGAATTCTAACCATCACATCAACTATCCATATTGATTAATAAACAAGCTATTTTCTCCACCCTATTTTATATGAGTTAATTTGACTTGACACATAATTTAATAGAGAAAGAAAGACTTTAGATATGTGTGACTGTAAATCATTTCATTAAGGTAAAATGCATATTTTAAAGTTAAATTATTATTTAATATAGAAATGTGTCATTCCGTTTTAGATGAGGTAAAAAAAAGTGACTCATATAATTATATAATTTTTTCCATGTTCACTATCTTTATATACAGATAGTGAACTGACTTCATATAATACTTTTTTTTTGGTTGGTGAATTGACTGACATTATTTAGTGTAAACCTAGTAAACTTTTTTGTACTTGTAATCCAATAATTAAGAATATATATATCCAGATAATTTTTGTCTGGAATTTATCCATTGATTCATAGGAACCAATGCATGTGATGCTGAAATGATGGATCCAGAGTTGTTAGAATATATTCCTTTGGGTTCTAAATATTAGTCATTTTGATAAACTGAATTTGTATTAAACAATTAAACATTTTTAAAAATAATAATAATCAAGAAGCATCAAAACATTTTTCAAATTCACGTACCCTCATTGTGGAGTGTTACTTAAATACAAATACCTTATAATCCTCTATCACTTAGCTAACTTAGCTATTAAGTAATCAATCAAAAAGTAGAAGGTATAATTTATTAATCTGAATCGCGAATTGCAGGGTCTATTGACACTTTTAATAGGATTTTTGAATTTGAATCTGAGTCCTCTGATTAAGAATGAAATAGTCATATTACTGCACCACAACTCATGTTGGTAACGGAAAGTGTAATTGTTATCTTTGTATTCTTTCAAATGGCTTTTAATTAAGACTTATTTTATTATATAAGCCCCCTAGTCGAATAACAATTTGGAAATTCCCTTGAACTAGATTCTGGGAGCTTTTTCTTTTTCTTTAAAATAAAAATAATGCTTGGGTTGATGGCAACCTATGGATGAAAAAGTCAAAAAGTTATGTCAAATTTAATTGTCTTATGAAAATCTAGTTGTAAAGAGCTTAACTACATAAACATGACATTAAAGAAAAAAAAATAAGAATTAACAATTTTATGTTGCTGATTCTATTTAATGATAAATTGTCAAAAAAAATCTCGTTAACTATAAACTTTCAAGAAAGTTTGTCCTTCGAAATGACTCAATTGATTTAGAGGGTGGTCACCCACACAGATAACCTGAGATCGATCCCTCCTTCATGTCTTTTGAGTCAGGCCTGTCGCTTATAGCTTGCTTAATGTGGTTTACATCTCATTTGTGGTTTGCAGACTATTATACAGTGAATGAAGGGTTTATATGTATGCATAAAGTGCTCACTCAAAAATAAAAACTGTGGCACAAATTTTAACGGCCGCATATTATAGTAGGATTATAAATAGAACTTTTGAAATTTCAAAATAATAATTACTCCCTCCGTTCCATTTTATATGAGGTATTTTGACTCGGCACGGAGTTTAAGAAAAAAATGAAGACTTTTAAAACTTGTGGTCCAAAATGAATAATATAAATTTGTGTGGCTGTAAATCATTTTATTACGGATAAAATAAATATTTTATAGTTAGATTGTTACTTTATATAGAAATATGTCATTATTTTTTGGATTGATTAAAAAGGAAAGTGAGTCATATAAATTGGGACAGAGGGAGTAGTTCTTTTCCCAAAAATATCAACCTCGACATTATTAGTTGATGTTATCTTATATATCTCTTATCCATTTTGTCCACATGCATCATGACTTCCCACTATAATATAGTTACTCTTGCCATCTACCAGTCGTTGGCATAATTTGATGAATTTCAAATAATTGCTTTTATATATATATAAAAAAAATTTGTCTGAGTAGATATAATGGTGACATGGGTGAAGTTAATCAATGTATATTATTGATCATATGGTAGAAAGGATATGACTTACTTTTATAATAATCTGATATTCGAAATTTAATTGTCCGATTAAATTTAGTTTCGTGTAGTATAGGAATATAGATGAGAAAACACTCCTTGTCAAGAGTTTCTTCATTTTCAAGATTCGAACTTGAAATTTCTGATTAAGAACAAAAAGATTTCATTCATTCGATCGCATTCTGGTAAAAAAAATGGTATAACTAATTAGTTGAGACGAGAACTTGCTTGAACGTTTCAAAATGCAAGAATTAAATTTGCAAACCTTTATATTTTCTTTTTAAAAATCTCAAAAGTATGTGAAATATCAGTGTCTAAATCAAATGGGGATGTTGTGGAGAGAAACATCATAATTAAAATGCAGAAAATGGAACAACTTGTAAATTAAAATATTCCTTTTTTGGTGTAAAAGTAGCTACAAGTTGTAATTAAATGACATAGGTGATGATGAAAACATCAATCTTTTTCATATGATAAAAAAAATTAGTGAGAAAAAAGTGATAGTATATATATCCACTATGACCAAATCAAAATATGCACCTAACTTAAATTTTATGATTTTTAAATTTTATAATAGTGATATTAGATGTTAGTACATATTTAATAGATATCTTCGATCGCTCAGCCATATATGTCGATTTCTAACTCCATATATATGGACGATCGAATTATTATATTATTGTCTGGAAGATGTCAAATTGACACAATTTTGTCTGAAATTTATATTGTTTATATAAATTTAATTATTTATTATGTATATATTTGTTATATAATAATTAATTTTAAAATATTTTTACTTTTTATATTTTGGATAAAAATAAACCTACCTTCCTATTCTCATTAATTAATATTAAAATCAACCAAGATTAAGAAAGAGAATGAAGGACAACACGATCCAAGTTGATAATTCTTTTTATAATAATAATTATAATGTCTCAAAGGGGAAAATATCTATAAAAAAGGAAGTGACATAAAGTGCAAATAATTGTCAATTAAGATAAATTACCTAAAGTAAGCAATGATGTCCATTTGTTACTTTTTTTTAGTCCCCTAAATATCTTGTCTATCTGAATTTGGTGTAGTCTTATATTTTATTTTGATTTTCTTTATAATTAGTATCACAAACTGTTATATTGATTGTAAGTGTAATGATATCAAAAGGGCAGACAGAAAGTTATATACTAACTTTATTTTTTAATTTACGTGACATTTTTTAAAAAAAATTTCTCAATTTTTTTTCCTTATATTTCACTTAATATTTTATTATGAAGAAAAGTAATAAAAAATAAATACTAAAATGACTTTAATAAGAGCAAATTAATAAACTACAATATCTTTCTTTATTTCTTCAACTTTGTATCCAATTAAATATAGTTTTATTTGGATGATAAGCATCCCACTTTCAGCTCGAAGATAGTAAAAGTATGAGAAAAATGTTTGAAATATATCTTAACTTTGACCGAAATTGTTGTAACAATCCCAAACTTTGGGACCTAGTATCCCCCTCCCCCCCCCCCCCCCCCCCCCGCACTAATTAATATTATATTTTAAAGATATATAAGTGTCAAGCTGGACAAACTACTATTTATAATGATGCAATATTTATGATGTCCACGTGAACACATGTATATCTTTAAAATACACTATTAAATAGTGCATGGGGTAATAGGTCCTGCCTAAAATTTAAGATTATTACACCAATTTCGATCAAAATTTGAATATATTTTGAATTTTTTCCCAAAAAATATTTTATAAGAGAAAAGACAAAGTACAAGTTTGGGCATAGATTATTTCTAGCAATTACTTGTATCTTATTAGGTGATCACTTGGTCTGATGATCATTCTACACGATCAATATTTGGTGTTTACCATAAGTCAATAAATACATGATATATATTTATACATAATCCTTGCACAATAACATAAAAATATTTACACGACCAAATCACTTTTAAAATAGTTAACCCTTCACAATTATATTGACGAGTAGTCATGAAAATTAGTGAATATCTACTATAATAACAATTTTTTTTTATAATCGTGGTGTTCAGACTAGTTTTTGTGCACCTCGACTAATTTAATGAGATACCTGCCACCTCTCACCAACAACATGTACCAGATAATTATGTCTGTCAAAACTAAGACGGATGAGAAGAATCACCTACTATATTTTATCTGTTGTTATAACAAATTAAACTACTCTAATAATATTAAATTATTTATTGTGATGATACAATTTTTTAATGAAAAGAGGAAAGAAAATGGAAACAATGGGGTCTCCATTTTTATTTCATTTTAAAATCCAATGGGCTTATGGACTTATATATATTTGGTCCCGTGTGTAAGAAATGACAATAATCTAACTTTTAAATGATTTTAGTGAGTACCACTAACTTTGGGACACTTATGATTGCAGCATTGAATTATTAAAATAGTTTTAACTTTAAGCAAATTGCAAGAAATACATTTTTTTTCTAGTTAATGCAAATGGTGTAGATAAGTTTTTGTTTAAATTGAATTGGCACTCTAATTGGGTAATGGACCCTCCCACTAATCATATTGTTTGATATTTAATTCTTTGGTGAAGAGATAATCACCATGATTATCAATCTAAATAACCGCCCACCTAATTTTTTAGATTAAAAAAGAGCCAATTAGTATATATAATTAGTGTATAATTTATATATATATATCAATTTTAATAATAAATAGTAAAAGCTGGTTGGTATATAGGCTCATTATTCTCTTTTCTTTAGGCCCATATTTGGGTTGGCTCATCTTTATATTCATTGGACAAATTACTTAACTACACTCCTTTACTTATTTTAATATCCATTTATCCCTACTTATTTCAAAAATCCCTTATTTACCTATGTATCCCACATGTATCCCGTGCACAACGCTATGTATCCCATGCACAACGCTATGTATCCCATGCACAACGCTATGTATCCCACATGTATCCCGTACACAACGCTATGTATCCCGCTATGTGGAATGTATCAAACCTAATGTATCCCGTGCACAACGCTATGTATCCCGCTATGTGGAATGTATCAAACCTAATGTATCTCGTGCACAACGCTATGTATCCCGCAAACATCATTTTTAAGGGATTTTTGGTAAATAGAAAACTAAAAGGGATAGGATGTTATTTAGTACTTATAATATGTGGTTCCTATAATTTATACATATTCATTTGTGATTGGGCCTGAAATATAGTCTCCAAATTCATCCGTGAACTATTTGTAATCGTCTCTTATATATCTTTTAGAAAACTTACGGAAATCCCATTAGTTTAAGAATTAAGTCTAAATTACGCGTATAAGCAACATATACTAGTTAATTGCTTAACATAGCTATAATTTGCTTTAATTACAATTCGCGACCTACTTTTAGCTATAATTACGCGTCTCATCTTTTAATTTTTGTATAATTCTTATGTTTGTGTAATTCAGAATTTGAATAATATACTTTGTATAACTTTTGAATAATTCAGTATTTGTATAATATAATTTGTATAACTGCTTACACTTCTGATGTTTGTAATTATATAAATTTGTTATTTCGAGTTGATACAAAAATAACTGAATTATACAAATGTACCCGCGAATTAAACAAATCCATGAATTATACAAACGAGACAACTTAAACTGTAGCTACAATCCGTAAATATGCAAACTATAGCTATGGAGCATAATTAAGTTTATTGTAGTGGTTATTTGCGAAAGTTCCTCTAGAATTAATTACTTAGATGCACTCTAATTTGCAATATTATGAATCTTACCAGATTTTTGTGCTTCCAGAATACGTGTAATTTGTTCTATATACACTCTATCCAAGTGAATTCACATGTATTTGAGATATATAACAAATATCGCTCGCCTCCCTCACATCTTGCTCGCCACTCTCCTATGTATCTGGTGTCCCAGATACATGCGAATCATACCAGATACATACATATACATGTATCGAATGTGTATCTAGTGCATTTGCATGTATCTGGATACATGACTATCTCCCTCCCCATATTCTCGCTAGCCTCCCTCGCCATCTCGCTCTCCTCTCTCCTTATTTTAGTGTATATGGTAGCAAAATTCCTTATTTTATTGTATCTGATTGTAAAAATACATGTATTTTTCTCAATGTATGATAAGAAACTCTTAATTAATAGTAAGATATGTAAATTATATAAAAATATATGGTGAATTAATATATATGGTATGTATGTATGTCTAATAAGATAGTTTTCCTTATCTTGTGTATGGTTGTAAGGAAATTCGTATAACACAAATTAAAAAAAAAAAAACACGTTAATGATTAAGTATATGATTAAGTCCAATGTAACTTTTAAAATTAATTTGCATGGTTTCAAAAAAAAAAAATAGTCATGTAATTTAAAAACGTGGTAATTCATTAGTCCTTTCGTTCCAAATATTGTCACGTTTAAGTTCCTTTTAGAGTTAATTTGACTAATTTTTAAAATTAAATTAGATTAGATTTAATATTTCAAAATTTCAAAAACTAAACAAAAAATACTGCTAGATTGCACTTTTTTTTCATATCACTTTAGTGAAAAAAATGCATCATGTATTTCAAATAATTTTCGAATTGTATTTATGTAATTTATAAATACATAAAAAAAATAATCAAATGATAAATTTTCAGTTAAAAATTAAATTTGATACTCAAAATAATTAAAACCAAGGGGTATTATTTTCCGATATTGAAACAAATATAATTGTTTATCAAAAAAACAAAAAAAAACTTGGGGTTAAAGCAAACTGAAAACTGTCAATAGTCAAATTTGGTAATTATAAAAAATTTAGAGGATTAGTAGTCAAATTTGGTAATTAACAAAAATTTAGAGGATTAGGCTTAATTAACACTTATATAATACCGCCAACTATCCGAACACTAGATGGATTAGGCTTAATTAACACAATATTAGATAGATTAGGCTTAATCAACATATTATATAAACTCAATTAAATTCTATTACTCAATACAATTGTAAATAACATGGCGTTATCAAGATCTAAGCATAGTTTAGGTTTTCGATTCCATCCTAGCGATAAAGAGTTGATCAACCATCTAAAAAGATTCATGCTCAATGGAATTTTTCCACGTCCCAATGTTATCAAACTAAAGGACGTATTTGGAGGCTTAGAGCCATGGCAAATTATCGATGGAGAGAAAACATGTTATTTTCTTACGCGATTAAAGAAATTCAAGAATTCGAACAAGAAATTCTCAAGAACAGTTGGGAGTGGGACTTGGAGTGGCCAAACAAGTGGTATTCCCATTAGAGATAAATCAAATAGAAATATTATAATTGGATATAAGAGAAGTTTGAGGTATAAAAGTGGTGTTGAAAAAGATCAAAGTGAAAAATGGCTTTTGAAGGAATATTTTTTGCTAGATGAGTATATTAAGAAAAGCAAGAACAAGGATATTTTCGTCATTTGTAGAATTAAAGAGAAGAAAAAAGAAGAAGAGGAAAATAATAATGATGATGTTAAGGATGAAGATGTTGATGGATTAGTGGATTATCTATTTGGAGGTAATTACGATCAAGTAATTAGAAACAATAATGACAATCAATTAGAGGGTAATTATGAAGCAAGTACAAGCACATTGAACAATTATGGAGAATTAGGTAAAGTTGAGCAATTTAATGGAATTAATCCATATGATAATTCAAGTATTGAGTCTGTATTGGAAATGATTGAATTTTAATGTTTATAAGCATGCAAATAGCAATGCTATCAAGTTTTTTTTTTTTTTTTTTTGGTTACATTAGGTTATAAACTTTTTTTTTATTAGGTTATAAAATTATAATAGCTTGAATGTGAATAATTTTCTTTTAGAAAAATATGAATTTGCGGTTGAGGACAAATTGTTGCATGAGTAGTTTTAAAAAAATATTAATACAATTTCTTCTTTTATTATCTTGATCATCCGTATTTTTGGTTTTTATTTGTCTTCAATGGTTAGTTATGTATACACAATAAAATTTTATATGGATAGCTCATCCTTATATTTATCTTCTTCTTTTTTCGATGAAGGGGATCGAATGCAACACAATATATTGCAAACAAATGTCTAATCTCTTCTAATTTTTGCTTTATAAATAATAATATTACCATATAAAGTTAAACGCTAAACACAATTATGTAAGAATAAAAAAGTTAACCCTAAATCAATAATATTTTTGTGCATGTGTATTTAAGGCCTCTTATTATAATTTGGTATTAGACTACTAATTTTATTGAGACGTTCTTGACACAAATCCAAGACATTTTCTTTTATAAAGAAATCGATTTAGATAGTCAAAAACTTGAAGGTTCAAATTTTGTCTTAAGGTTTTGCCCTTGAAGTTTTCATTCAAGCTTTTCTGGCAAAACTTCGTTGGTGGTGGAAGCTCGTCGTTTCCTTTGCTCGCCGTCCAGGCTTGCTGCTCCGGAAAAGGTATACATCTTCCCCTTTCATTAAATCTTCCTTTCTCGTGTCAATTTTGGTTTCCAGTTATCAATATGATTGTAGCTTGAATGTGTATATATGAGTGTTGGAATGCTGGTTTCTGGCTGTTGCTGCTCTTGTTATGCCATTAATATGCCTAACTTTTCTGGTGATTAATTTAGCTCATTTGTAAATATTCATCTTCATGAATAAAGGCTAATAATCCATCTTCTTGCTATGTTCACGTGACTTCAGGTAAGTTCTTTGAACTCCATTACCTTCTCTTTTCATTCCGAATGGGCCATGGAGGCCCAACTCTACCCTTTCTCGAGTCAACCCCATTGCCAAGATAAAGAAACTGATGAACAGGTGGAAATAGAGCTGATACAGGTGTTCGAAAGTCCAAAAATGGACTTTATACAATTACTATACATGAAATACAGGGCTGAAACGGAAATACAGGTGTTCGGAAGCTGAAGTGGGTTGTATACACTTGGTATACAGTCCGATATACAAGAAAATACACCAAAATACAGCCTATATACAGCTGTATACATTCAGTGTATACATGGATTTTCAGGAACGAAAATAGGCCAAAACCCAATTTTTTCTTTGCACAGCAGTAGCAGCGGGAAGCAGAAATGGGCCACGAAATGCTCTTTTTATACCATTCTTTCTTTATTTCATTTAGTTCTTTACTCTATTTATGAATTTATGATGCTTATCGCTAACTTTTTAACATCTTTAAATTAAATTTTTAACATCTTTAAGAATGTAACATGTTTTCTCTAAAGAAATGTAGTAGCATAATCAATCTTGGATCAACTTTTATTACTGATTTCTATCTTATCATCATTGGATTTTCTTGATTATTTTCAATATTTTTAACAACATCAAGAATTGAACATGTTATAGCATCTTATTTTTCCTTTAGATCTTCCAGTAACATATGGTTTGTTAATTTGTTGTACAAGCTAAACTGATGAAATTAATTAACTAAAGATGATAAAAGAAAGAACATTGAAATGAATATATATGTAGGGGTGTACATGGTCGGTTGGTTCGGGTTTTTCAAATATCAAACCAAATCATTTGTGTTGGATTTTTAAATTTATAAACCAAACCAAACCAATAAAACTCGGATTTTTTCGGTAAAGTATTCATACAAACATATAATTTACTTGTACTTCAAATATTTCTTTAGCCCTATCAAAATACAACTATCTAAGATGTTTCTTAAAAATATAACACAATATGATATGATTAATGACACTAAAATATCCAACAAAAATAATGATAATGAAATCGCGTAAAACAAATATTCCAAATTAACAAGTCATAATAAAAATGATCATAATTTAAAAGTACTAAATCATGCTAAAATTAAGTTTAATAAGTATTAGTTACATTACTAAATATTAAAGGAAATTAAATTAGGTTATGTATTTTAATTGTCTAAACCAATATAAAACTAAAGAACAAATATTCAATATTATTGTCGTGTTGAATTGATTTTCTTTTTGCATTAGTATTAATTTGATTTTGATTTAAGCTTTATTATAATTAGTTAATTACCAACATTTGTGGACTATAGTCTTTATTGTCCCATTCATAATTCTAAGTTTCAAACTTGAAATAATATATTAAAAGATAAAAACTATGAAAAAGTATAAGAAATATTTTAAAATTATATCAAAGTAAATATTTTTATGTATAAAATAAAATTTTAAAATTATATATATAATGTCGGGTTGGTTTGGTCTCGGGTTGGGTTTTTTTTAGTTAAAACCAAACCAACCCAAATGTAGTCGGATTTTTTTTTTTCAAAACCAAACCAAGTCAAACCAAACCACTAGTCGGTTTTTTTTTCCGGGTTGACTCAATTTGCAATTTGATTCGATTTTTGGTTCGATTTTGTACACCCTAGCGCTATGAATCAAATTTGGACAGGTCATATCATGCTGCTTGAAATTTGTTTGGATAAAATTAGATTGGATCAAAGATGAGTCAAATAACGGTTCATAACTTAGTCACCTAATTTTATTTTTTATATATATAAATCTCCCCTCCTTTTATTTTTTTTTAAAAGAAAAAAACTGATAGATTTTAATTAACTCGTTTTGATCCAACAATTTGATGAGTCATTTCAGATTAAGGGTGTATTCAGTCGGGTATAGTTTTTCATTTTTCTCATGTTCGATTTGTCAAAAATTTTGGAAAATATTTTTTTATGAAATCGAGTTCCTTAAATATGAGAAAAATGACTTCCTTATTGAATCGAAAGTAGGAAACACAAGTTCCACACGTGACATTCCATATTGTTCGTGTCCTCAATATATACCACCCCTCTAATACCCCCTTGTCTTCCTCCCACCACCCTACACGCCTACCCCACCTCCACCTCCAACAATATTTATCTAGATTATATATGAATATTTTTAACATAATATTTTTTCAATTTATATACCGAACACAAGCAATTTTATACCTAGATGTGTATTAAGTGAGGTTATTTATTTTGCCACCTATTTCATAGGATTATTAAACTACTAGAATAGATGTTCTAAGAAATTTATATGTGGAAGACATATTCAGATCAGTTGGGCATTTCCATGAAGCAACTCATATATAGCTAGCATTTATTAGTTTGATTTAATTTCTTTTTTGTTGTTGTTGTAAATTTCCAAGGTCAACTATATTTATTAGAAAATTAAATTAAGTCTCGTCAAAGTCGTCTTATCAAAGATAGCTCTAATTAGGGTTCAAGATCATACTGAGGAAACATCTTTTTCTGGATCATTAGTTAGACGGGTGACATATGTGAGTCATAGTAGCGTGTCGAAGGATCGTAAAAACTCCGATATCAATTAAAAAAAATATTTTATTTATAAACTCAGAAAATCTTGAATCTTAATTCAAATAATACTACTTGATGACTAGATTAGAAAAATTATTGTACGTAAAGACATAAAATATGAAGAGAATCCTAACTAGTATTATATTTGTTTTCCTTCTTTGAGATGTTCCACCTTGACGTCTTGTGTACTAGGGGTAAGACGCAGAAACTTGCGGAATATATTCAAAACAGAAACCATGCAATCAAGACGACCGCTCAGTTTCTTCTCCCCCTCCTCGTCGTGGTCATAATCACCATCATTATTATTATCATCGATCTTACTTTTCTCAATTAACATGTCTTGAGGTCTGAAATCTCCATGAGCCATGACAATATTTTCGAAATTCCGGGAAGCTTTTTGGTGTGCGGTGCGACGTTTCATCTTGCAAATCATGATAGCAGATAATAGTTGCAGACGCTTGATTTCCTCACAAACTGTAGTCTTGCCTCCATTACTTAAAGGAAACTATTTTATTTATAAACACAAAAGTTTTTGAATTTTGATTCAAGTTCTCTCTATTTTGTATATTTCTGTATAACTAGTCATACCCTATTTATAAAAAAGCAAGAAACCAAATTAAATTAGGACTAGAAAATCTATTCTATGTAGAATTAGGACAAATAAATACTAACTAGACATTAATTAAGTAAATACCAAAAACAACAAATCCTAAATAACTTAGAATTCCTACTCCAACTTTAAATTATTATTCCAAATGGACAACACATTTTTCTATTGATTTTAAGAAGCATTATGATCGTACACTTGTGACAAAATAGAATATTGATATCTTTGTGCTCAAGTCTCAATGTTAAAATCATTTTTTTTGGTATAATAAAATCATAAATTTATTTTTTTTGGTAACTAATAAAATCATAATTTTTTGTAAAAGTCTATATATATATATAATTATATTTAAATATTTCCATTTTAGTGAAAAAATTGCATCACGCCTTTCAAATATTTTACCATTTTCAATTATTGGGGGTCAAATTTAGTAATTACGTTTTTTACGTAATTAATACGTAATTAATGAGAGATCAATTGCCAAATTAAGACTTATAATATTTTTTTATTTAATTTATAATTACGTAAAAAATAATAATTAAATTATAAATTTTCAGTTAAAAAGAAAATTTAATTTTCCAAATCAAAAAAATGTCACATAATTAAAACCAAGGGTATTTATTTTCCAATACTGAAACAAATAATTGTTTATCAATAAGTGAAAAAAATTAACCTAAAATTGTCAATTACTGAAATGACAAAAATATCCCTACAAAACTTGGGGTCAAATTTAGTAATTACGTTTCTTACGGAATTAATTACCAAATATTATCTATCCCAATATCAGATAGATTAGGCTTAATTAACATATTATATAAACTCCACTCCACTACATTCAATTAAATTCTATTACATCGATCTTTTTACACATACAAAAAAAAAAAACTTAAGTACAAATCAAATGGCATTATCAAGATCTAAGCATAGTTTAGGTTTTCGATTTCATCCTAGCGATAAAGAGTTAATCAACCATCTAAAAAGATTCATGCTCGATGGAATTTTTTCACGTCCAAATGTTATCAAACTAAAGGACGTATTTGGAGACTTAGAGCCATGGCAAATTATCGATGGAGAGAAAACATATTACTTTCTTACGCGATTAAAGAAATTCAATAATTCGAAAAAGAAATTCTCAAGAACAGTTGGGAGTGGGACTTGGAGTGGCCAAACAAGTGGTATTCCCATTAGAGATAAATCAAATAGGAATATTACAATTGGATATAAGAAAAGTTTGAGATATGAAAGTGGTATTGAAAAAGATCAAAGTGAAAAATGGCTCTTGAAGGAATATTTTTTGGCAGATGAGTATATTAAGAAAAGCAAGAACAAGAATATATTCGTCATTTGTAGAATCAAAGAGAAGACAAAAAATGATGAGGAAAATAATAATGATGATGATGTTAAGGATGAAGATGTTGATGGATTAGTGGATCATCTATTTGGAGGTAATTATGATCAAGTAATTAGCAACGATAATGACAATCTATTAGAGGGTAATTATGAAGCAAGTACAAGCACATTGAACAATTATGGAGAATTAGGTGAAGTTGAGCAATTTAATGGAATCAATCCATATGAGAATTCAAATATTGAGTCTGTATGGAAATGATTGAATTTTATTGTTTATAAGCAATGCTATCAAGTTTTTTTTTTTTTGGTTACATTAGGTTATAAACTTATAATAGCTTGAATGTGAATAATTTTCTTTTAGAAAAATATGAATTTGTGGTTGAGGACAAATTGTTGCATGAGTAGTTTTTTTAAAAAATTAATACAATTTCTTCTTTTATTATCTTGATCATTCCTATTTTTGGTTTTTATTTGTCTTCAATGGTTAGTTATGTATACACAATAAAATCTTATATGGATAGCTCATCCTTATATTTATCTTCTTCTTTTTTTGATGAAGGGGCTCAAATGCAACACAATATATTGCAAACAAATGTCTAACCTCTTCTAGTTCTTTGCTTTATAAATAATAATATTATCATGTAAAGTTAAACACTAAACACA